AGACAGATAGTGAATAAATGTTAACAAATTCAACAAATATTAACTATGCACAGCTGGAAGAAGGCGGCATAAAGAAGAGCCATGGGAAAAGGACTTCAGAGGAGTGAAGAAGACTCTCAGGGAGTGTCTAGACAATAAGTCACCTCTTTCACCAGAAGCTTATGAAGTCTTAAAAAGACCTCTGCTACCACAATGACTCAGAGCATCCTATGTAGTCACAACAGATGCAGGCCTATTATAAAACTGGAGAAACAGCACAGCTCCAGGAATTTCAGCACCCATATCTGTATCAACACCAAGTGAAAAGAAAAATAAGTCCAGCTGCAAACATACTTAAGAAAAAACACTAGACGTTAATAGCAGAGATCTGAGTGCTGAAGACAGAGATAAGAATCTTGTCAATTAGAATTTTGGTCCAAATACAGGAAAACAGCTGACAGAATCAGCAGACAGCATAAAATGAGGATGACAAAGAGGAAGGAGACTCAGATCAGAATCGGGAAAAAAGTCAATTCTTTCGGCCACATCCAGCCTTGGTGAAGAGGATTAAGAGTTAATACCCAAGCCAAAGCAACATTTGCTGACTGAACAGCACTGATCAGAGAGAGAACAAGTTGTTCTAGAAAAGGAGTAGCTATCAGGTTTAGGAGAAATAAAATCAATTAAATTAGTAAGTGCAGGGGAGAGTTGAAAAGGCCTTTGGGAGAAGCAGTCCAAACAGGTAGAAGCAGCCAGCACTGTTTTGTATTCTTTTCACCACAGCAGGGAGGGAAGCCAAGAATACAGTTGGAATTTGACCGAGCAGAGTTGAAATTTGGGTAGAGACTAAACTAAACCTAGGATCTCCAAGTACCTGACAACAGGGCCCAGACCCCTTACAATATAGCATGGTAATGAGAAAAGCCACACATAAATGAAGCCAAAATTGATCAGCAGCTGAACTGAATGACACAGGTCACCAGAGACATTTAGGAAGAGTCTGCAGAAGAAAAGGGATGAAAACCTCTTGCGTTTGTTCCAGTTAGCTTTAATTGTCAACTTGACACAGCCGAGAGTCACCAGAGAAGGGATCTCAATTGAGGGATTTCCCAGATCACATCTGTATTGTTTTATTAATTGACGGTGGGCAGCATCATTCCTTGTGTGGGTGGTCCTGGGCTGTACAACAAAGTCAGCCAAGCATTGGTCTGAGAACAAGCCAGCAAGCAGCATTCCTCCATGGTTTCTGATTCACGTTCCTACTTCAGTTCTTTCCCTGACTTCCCTCAACAATGGACTGTGGCCTGGAAGTGGAAGCCAATAAATCTTTCCTTTCCCTAAGCCGCTTTTGGTCATCATGTTTATTATAGCAAAAGAAAGGAAACTAGGCCATCATTATATATGAAACGGTTAAACTGAGCCCTCATGCCTGAGAGCCCTTTTTTGTGGTATGTAAATCTGTAAATAATGTTAGTCTTACACACTTGTCACCATCAATGAATAGAAGGGACAGTGGACTGGGACAGAGTGGTGAGTTGGACCATCCCAGAATGAGGAGTGGTGGTAGGAAGGGAAATCGTTATTTTTTGATTTTGCTGCTGGTAGTGATTTTTCTATATAAAATATTGATATATGTATACCTATATTTATAATGTTACATGGAGAAACTGTTCATAGTTAAATCCATGGTGTGTAAATAGCTTATATGGACATATAAATTGTGTCATTTCAAAGTTTAAGTTAAAATAATATGGAAAAAAATTTCTCAAGGATTATTGATTTGTACTACCAGAATCTGAAAATCTTCAGTCCTGACAGTGGGACCACCAGTGGGCAGAAGCACACTGAAAAGAATGGCTAGTGCATTTGTCTATACCATTTCAACCACTGTTTTCCTCCCCCTCCACAATCCCCATTTCTTTCCAAGAGGAAGAGTGAAATTCCAACTAATAAAAAGCCTATACAATGTGATTTAATCATAGTTAGCTCTATGTCCAATGGTCAGAAGAATCTGTCTCCTTGCCACTGCCCCTGCAGTGACAGGAGACCTACGTCTGCAGGTATGCCCACTGCTCTATGCAGCCTTTGGATCTTGCTTCTTGCCCCAGGTCCCTGCCCAACTGAAGCCCAGTTTTTGGTGACACCTTCTTCTTAGAAAAACCAGATTTAGTCTTTGCTCAATTCACTGAACGCTGGATGCCGTTTTCATTTGTCTTCCCCTGAATCAAGGTACAGCTATCCACCCAATGACTCTTCTGCCAGTGATGCCTGGATCCATGCCCTGCTCCTAGCCCTACAGTTTGGGAAAGCAATGTCCTTTCAGAGAACACATGAGTTCATTCTTCCAATGAGTGACTAGATATTATTTGGGAACCATTCCTACTGCTCAACCAGTTCCCCTATTTATGAATCCAACCATCAAAGTAGCAGGAGGCTTCAGTTCAATGACTAACAGGCTGGACCTTAGAGAGGGTATGAATCTGTGGCCCTGGGAGCCAATGCAATGAAAGGTTTCAGAGGATTTGCAACTGACCTCTTTCCTCCCTGTTTCCTTCATGGAGTAAAACTAGAGGAGAATAAGATCACTGTTGCTTTGTGGAACCTCTATTGCTACAGCTGACAGATAACTGGAGGGATGGGAATTTGATGAGAGTGCCATTGACAGCATAGATCATGTCATTTTCCCTCCCCCATCTTCCTAGTGTTTTAGCACAGTGTCTGACACAGAATATTTGTTCAGATAATAAATGTCAGAAGTAGAATGCATGCATGATTGAATGAATGAATGAGTGAGTGAATTAATAAAAGAATGATGAGGATTCTTTGGGTTTCACTCCTGCATGTTTCAGTACCACCTGATCCTTGGGCAGTAGAACATATCACACCTATATCTTTAAATGTAACACTTCTCCTTTTAGGCTTTTCATGCATTTATCACATCACTTAGGTGAGTCTACACATATAATTGAAGTTCATCACTTTCAAAGCCCCACAAGTGACACCAGCCACTTGAAGGGCCAATGCTATAACTTCTTGTGACTCCTGGCTAATCTGAGTAACACAGCCTAAGAAGACCTGCACATGTCAAATGTGAGGTGTATACCAATCAACCTTGCCTCGCTTTCCTCCTTCCTGCTGCCCCCACAGCTGATGAGAATCCCAGAGTGTCCTCCAGGGGTTTCTGGCTCACAGCTAACCCCAGGGCTTGTTGAGCATTATCTAGTTCTTGAGACTTCTATCCTGCCCTTTGGAGGTTTAGCTTAACAGCCTGTAACCTTCCCTGCTAAGCTTCTCAGTTCTACTTTGCTCATCCTGCATGGGAATGGGTCCAAATTAGTTTGAACATCTCTTAGCATCTACAGAGGACAGATGCCAGAACCACCCCGCCCCAGATACCAAAATCTAAAGTTGTTCAAGTCCTTTATACGGCACAGTATTTGTATATACCTGGATCTAACTTCCCATTGCTTTTACTCATCTATTACTTAGAATGTTCAATACAATGTAAGTGCTACGGAAAATTTTGTTATACCATAAAGTTTAGGAAATGATGACAAGAAAAAAATATTCTATAGATGTTTAGCATGGGTATTGCCATCTTAACCAAATTACTTACTGGTAACAACCTAACACTTTTTTTTCTAATATTTTCCATCCTTGGTTGGTTACAACCATAGATATTGAACCTATGGACGAAATGGGCTGAATACAATTATTGGTCATATCCTAAGCACCCGCAGGCACAGGCTTTACACAAGCCTCGTTTTTTGAGCATCGTATTTGGTTGAGTCTCTCCTAAGACACAACATTTCCTTTCCTTTATCCTCCCAAAGGTTGCTTTCTATGTAAGTCACACTGTGCCCCACCTAATAAGTTTTGTACATGTGGGATCCAATTAAAAAGATCAGAAGAAGAACTGGAAGAAACAGGAGGCACCTTGAGATAAAAGCAGGCTACAGGAGTGTACATATGGAGGATAATCATTCCAAAGGCATCTGCCTTGCTGGGTACTGGCTGAAGGCACAAAGGGTACCACCCTCATAAGCACCTTCACAAATTGCTCTGCACATTCTGCCCACTTACATCAATGTGCATCAAACAATACACCTCTCCCCAGCCCTCATTATTGAGCTTGGACTCTGTACCATGCTTTGAGTGACATTAAAATTGGATTCTGGAAAGCATAAGAGACTTCATGGTCACTTTATATAACTTCCTGTCTTGCTACAGGAATCCCCAACATCCCCTGACAGGTAGCTGGACAGTGTTGCCTTGCATAACAACTCAGAACCTTCCAAACATGTCTGACCATGTGACTCACTAATGACGCTATAAAAAAGCACAGCTCACCAACCATACAGAGCTACACAAAATCAGAATCCCTAAAGAAGGCACCCTGGAACATGAAGTTTCAGTGAGCATCACCAAGAAGTCTCATAATTAAACATGCTTTCTCTGGGCATGCAATGCAGCAGTTCTTGACAGTTGCTGCATATTAAAATCAGCTAGGATGCTTTAAAAAAATGTCAATGGTAGGCCTTTACACCTAGATATGCCTACTTAATTGGCCTGGAGTGGAGCCCAGGCAGTATAATTTTTAAAGCTCCCAGCTGACTCTAATGGACAGCTGGGGTGAAAGCACTGTAGCAGCTTTCTAACCTGCTGGTGAGCCATTTGGGGACAGTAACTGAGAGCCTTGTACCTATTAGTATACCTCATTCTACCCTACCACCATGTTGGTCCCAAACTCTCCACAGTAAGATGATCTGATTAACTTTCTTGTTTGCCTATGTAAGACAATGCAGTATACTAACTACAGCAAGAAGTTTATGTACTTCTGCTGAGCAAAAGGCCAAAGACAAGATATGATGTGCTAGGTTCTGCTAAGTTCTCAAAGTTGAGTATACACAAACTCAACTTATTCCCAGCCTTTACTGTCCCCAAATGAACCAAGCCAAACAGCCCCAGAAGCTTCGCTCCAGCTTCTGCCCACTCCTCCCTGTCCCACGAGCTCTACTCACATTGTACAGCACAGTGGTCCACCCTTCCATGGTGATGCATTGGAAGACAGTCAGCACAGCAAAAAGGATGTTATCAAACTGGGTGATTCCATCATTGGGACCGATCCAGTCTTTACATTCGTAACCAGCTGGGCAGCCCTGCACACCACATGGGTGCGGAGGATCAAATCCTTCTAGGATGCCTGCAGACATATTTGATGAGAGGAGAATAAACCACATGGTGCTTAGCATGAACCCAGGAAGCCACAAGCAAGCAAGTCTCCTGTCATAGACAGAAGTTGCCCATCTTACCTCTAGCCCTTTACTCTCTGGCTTCTCTGTACCCCTCACTTCACACCCATGTGCAACAAACCACTTCTATAAACAGTCTCTCCAATACCTTCAAGTCCCAAACTCCACCTTGGCCTGCACAGCCAGAAGAATTCACAGGGCTACTGTCACACAGAAGACAGTGGGGTAAAGGCATAATGTTACTGATTTTCCAACCTCAGATACCAGGATGAACCCCAAGTTTTCCTGGGTATCCTGTGCACAGTCATAAAGTATCGCTGCATTATTTTATTAGCTCTTTGTTTTTCTGGCATACATTCTTAAATTTGAACTGAAGGTAAAAATGAGAAATAAAAATCATTTGAAGATTCTTTTCATGGACACATGGTGCTTATCTGGGATTCTTTAACCTGTTCCTCATGTACCCCCCTGCCCCATGCCTTTCTTCCTAGAATGTGCTACTCAGCTCGATAAGGACAAAGATATGTGAACTTGGAATTGGTGTACCCCACAATCTCTCAAGCACACTTGTCAAGCCAAGTTCAGAAACAGCGAGGAAGAATGTGAGATGGAACATGGGAAAGAATGCCACAGATCCACCAGGACCCACATATAATTTTGGTCTCCTGGGTCCCACCGGCCTAGCAACCAAAGATGCTGTTATGTCGAGTATTTATTCAGATAGATGGTTTCTGACATATTTTCTGATAGACCTCTACCATGGATGGAGGAACTGAGACCGCCTATTTGAAACCTTCCAACTATAAGCAAAGAGGCTATTGCTTTACAATAGGAGTGTCAAGTGGATTTTAAGCTGGTTTTATGCCTGAAAGGTTACTAACTAGGAAGTTTCTGATTCAAATTCTAGAGTTAGGATAAAATATACTTTTTCAGCAAAGTCCCAAGGCCCTGGAATTACCCTCCTGATCAGAGAGGAGAAGTGGAAAAATAGAAGACAGAAAATAACGACCTTACCTGAATTGTTCATGAAGCATGCTCGATGTAACTTCCCACTGTAGAACTCTAAGCCAATGATGGCAAACATGAGGATGGCAAAGAAAAGCAGAAGGCCAATCTGCAGAAGAGGCACCATGGCCTTCATGATGGACTTCAACACGATCTGCAAGCCTAGAGGGAGAGAAGGGAATGACTTGGAGCCCTATACAGCTCTACCTGACTGGGTGGGTCTGTTTACCCTCTCCTAGTAGGAGGGCAGGTCTTCCATAGAAAAGAACCACCAATCCAGAGATGATAGACACTAGGACAAGTCAAGCCAAAGGCTGCTAATCACCTCTGCCTCGGTTCCTGCTTCCTCCCTCCTCACCATTCCCTGATTGGCTGCCTGCCTATAACCCTTCTCCTGTTTCCTCCATTTTATCTTCTGGGTTCACCTTTTTTTTTTAATACTTTATTTATTATTTTTATGTGTATGTGTGTATTGCCTGCATGTAGATAAGTGCACCTGTGTCATGCAATGCCAGCAGAGGACAGAAGAGGATGTTGGATCCCCTGGAACTGGAGTTACAGGCAGTTGTTAGCAGCCATGTCGGTGCTGGGATTTGAACCTGCTTAACTGCTTAACTGCTGAGCCATCTCTCCAGCCCCAATCTTCTGGGTTCCTCTTAAAGATTAAATTCATTAGACCATAATCCTTACTTAAAAGAAATTAGGCCTATCCCTGCCAGGGCTACAGATCCTACAAAAGTGGGGACAAAGTTGATCTCCCCTCTCTCAAAAAAGATCATTCTCTCTCAGATCCAGTTCTCTACCCACTGTGGCAGGAACACAACTGATACAATAGTGCTCAGAAAATGCATAGTCCTTTGACCCATGGACCATACTTCTAGGATTCTGGCTGAAGACAATGACCAGAGATTTGAGTAAAGATTTAAGCAAAAAGATGTTTGCTATAGCACTCTTCATGGTTGAAAAAAGGGAATAACCTGTTTTTGGTTTTGCTGTTCAACCACATAAAAAAATACCTAAATATATCATGACATATTTTTTAAGGTATATATATATATATGAGTGTTTTGCCTGACTGTATGTATGTGTACCTGTGTCATACAGTGCTGATGGAGGCAAGAAGAGGGCATGGAGTTCCCTGGAACTGGAGTTAGGGATGGTTGTTAGGTGCCATGTTGATGCTAGGAACTCAACCCAGGTCCTCTGCAAGAGCAGCCAGTGTTCTTAACCACTGAGCAATCTCTCCAGCCTCACAAAAAAGAATTTTTAAAGTCAGGAAAATGAAATGCTATTTCAACATATAATCTACACACATATAATTATTAAAATTGTATTAAAATACATAAGGGAAAAGAATGAAAAATATATGTATTAACAAAATATATTTCAGAATAAAGAGTGGTGTTTGTTTCCTTTTTCATGGTTTTCCTTTCCTATTTTATGAAAAGAAAACTTCTCTAAGTATGAGAACAAGTTCAATTTAAAAATATAATTTTTACTGGGTGTAGTGGCTTATGCCTTTAATCCCAGCACTCAGGAGACAGGGGTAGATCACAGCTAGCCTGGTCTACATAGCAAGTTCCAGGCCAGTCGGGTCTACATAGTGAGAGACCCTATCTCCAAAAATCAAAACTAACTAAATAAATCAAAATAAATAATAGTGTAATGTTATGCTCAGTTGTTGCATGTCCACTATGAAATACCATAGGGGCTTCCTTCCAAGAAGTAGTATTTCTTGTCGTAGACATTGTCTTAGACCCAGGGTCCAATTGAGGACTTGTCAGTGAAGATACTAGCCAAACAGAAAGAAGAAAGTGGGTGCTCACTAGGTATTCCTGACACAAGCTTTAAGGGCCTCAGGACACGCACAGCCCGGAGTGTCCGCAAGTCCACATGGGTATTGAAGTGGGTTCCCGCAGTGGCCAGGATGCTGTGGATGAAGATGAAGAAAAGTCAAGGTTACCACAGTCTGATGGTCCCCTCCTGTTCCATGGGGAGACTGGGCTTTAACAGGCTTAGCCTGGAAAGCAAACAAAGGTAGTGCCAGCTGTATGTGGGCGCACCTGAGCCTGGGTGAATCACCAGTGGTGTCGAGTGGAATTAAATATAGCCATCTGGGTTTTACTGTGCAAAGAAATAAAAGTTACCATCATAATAGAATCCTAGTCTCAAAATAATGAGCAGAACACATGGTCCCCAGCATCTGTAACCAACCTGGTCTCTCACTCTCCTCTCTGTCTCTTGCAAACTCCCTCTCTTCTTTTGATGCTACCAAGTCCTTAAATTTTTTATTTCAAAGTTCTCCAAGATTTCCCTGTTCTGTTCTCTTTAGGGAATTCCTCTGGCTTAACTGCAGTAGAGAAGTAACTCATTCTTCTCTACCTTGACACTCAGAATTCTTATCAAACAAACAAACAAATAATAAATAAATAAACTGATATTCACAACTGGGAGATGTGTCAGTGGTCACTGTATATTATTAACACTTTTTATAATTGCACCAAATGAATTTTTGACCTAGGCTGGGACTCTTTACTTTCATTTCCCCATGTTACACAGCCATACCCAGAAACACACACACACACACACACACACACACACACACACGCACACACACTTCACAAGAATTCTATTGCACTGTGTGCACCAAGTACCTTGTCCTAATGAGACAATATATTGCATAATACCCCCACAACAATTCAAGTACTTTGAATAGACAAGAATACACATGCATTCATGAGGACTAAGAATTAGATGAACTAGATTTATGTCTTGGTCCATTCACTTTAGAACAGCCCACTTGATACAAGTCATTCAACCTCTAGAAACCTTATTTTTCTCATCTATAAAATAGAGGAGTAGAATTTACAGAAATAAAATTAGATTGTATTGAATACTAAAAGTGTTCTGGGTCGGTCATGGTAATGCACACCTGTAATCACAACATTTGGAAAGCTGAGGTGGGAGTACTTCAAGTTCAAGGCCAGACTAGGCTACAGACTCTGTCTAGAAAACAAAATAAACATGTTCTGGAAACTACAAAGTACATAATTGATATTGTTTCTGACACAAAGATCAATAATAATAACTTAAATTTTGCTGGCTTATTCTTTGTTCTGTGAGATAGCACCTTTTATCCCTTATAACCTCTCTACAACTATCACTGCTATCCAGAAGCACTGGCAAATTAGTCATTTAGAAAACTGCATAGTAGCAAGAATAGTTTATTTGATTTATCTATTTTTTCTTGTTTATTTCTTTTTTTTTTGACACAGTGTCTCTCTATAGCACCAGCTGTCCTGGAACTATGTAGAGTAGGTCCACCTGCCTTTGCCTTCTAAGTGCTGGGATTAAAGGTGTGTGCCTCCATGCCTGACTCTTTTTTATTTATTTTTATTTTACATGTTTGAGTGTTTCTCCTACATCTATGTAGGGGTACCCATGCATGCAATATCCACAGAAGCCAGAAGAGGGTGTTGAATTCCCCAGAACTGGAGTTATGGTGATTGTTAGTTGCCATGTGGGTGCTGGGAACCAAACCTCTGCAAGAGCAGACAATGCTCCCCGTCCCCCATTTATTCTTGGTGGAGCCTTTCTGAATGATTTCAAGTACAGATCATTATGATAGCTGCAGTGTCATAGACACTTAACATGTCTTCACTATTCTAAAGAGAACTTCGTGAAAGGTTAATGCCTCCTGGTTCTAGGAAGCAGATGAAAAATCAACAGGTACCGACACTGCAGATCAGGACAACATAATTGCAATGACGGCTGTGAACACACAACACTGGCCACCAATCCCACAGGCTCCCAACATTGGCAGTAGTCAAGCACTGGCTGCACAGCTACCATGAAGACATAAAGAAGATGCCCACGCTAGTACAGTTGTATGAATGCCTGCTGGTGGTTTCTTTCAACTTCAAGATTTTATAATTTGGGCTGGGTGAGATGGCTCAGTTGAAAAAAAAGCTCGACTTTCAAATGTGAGGACCTGAGTTAAGATTTCCAGAATCCACATTAAAAAAAAACAGGTGTGGTGGTGAGATAGGAGGCAGAACATAGGTGAATCCCTGAAAATTCTTGGAGCAGCTAGCCTGTCTCAAACAAGAAGGTCAACACCTGACATCATCCTCTGACCACACAGAAGTACCATTCAAGCATACACCTGCACCCACACAAGTAAATGCATGCACATGCCCCCGCCTCCCACACACACGGAGGGGAAAAGATACTATAATTCTATGTTTATACAACCCCAAAACAATAAATAGAATGAAATCATACTGTCATAAAGAAATTCAGAAACTAGGCAAGTTTTAATCTTCTTAACTATACAAAGTCTTCTCCATCCTGCCTGATCCCAAATTTCATACCATCATCTGAATTCTGTCCAAATCACTGACATTACCCATGATTCTAGTTTCCAAAATCAAAGAAAGGCATTTGGAAGGGGGTGGTATAATTTCTATAGAGGAAAAAGAACAAAGAGAAACTTGGAAAATAGAACTAAAAAAATTAGAACGGAAATAGACCAAAAACAACAACAACAACAACAACAACAACCAAACCAAACCAAAATCCAAAAGGAAAAGAAAGAGGAGGAAGATAAAGAGAACCTTCAAGGGTAGGGACAGTGGTAAAGAACAGGGAGAATGGGCTGTGGTCCTGTTTCCTCCTGGAACAAAAGCGGGGCCGCAGCCAGGGCCGCCTCTGCTGCCCAGGTGCGAGACTCCCCTTTCATTATGTCTTATAAACACAGTGAAGAATCTGCTCTGCTCAGAAACTAGAGTGAATTCTGTTTCCAAGGATACCAAGATACTCATGAGATATTCTTTTACATCATACAAAGAGCTGCTGGAAGTGAAATTTTCCTCTCCAGTCCTGAGTTTGGCATGTATGTTTCAGAACATGGAGGTAGAGGCAGAAAGGCAACATTAAAAGGTAAAGAAGACTCAAACATCCAAAGGAAAATGTAGTAGTAAGAAGGGACCAAGCCTGCAGGAGAATGAAAAGCCAAAAATCATGAAGATCAGACAAGAAAGGAATAAGAAATAAGTTAGTGGATAAGGAAATGTCAGGAAAATATATAGGGAAGCTCCCAAGGAAAAGGGAACAAAGTAAAGCTGACTTGAAGTAGAGAAAAAAAACTGTTATTTATTGCAAGTGCTCATATAGTCATCCATGAGAAGAGTCTACATTCCCATCACGCAGCGGCAGTGCAGCTCTTAGCCAAACCCACCTGCTTCCAAATCTCCCTACCACCAACCCAACTGTAGCCAGAGTCACAGCCCATGTCCTCCAGCTCTCTTGTTCTTTAGAATTTTCTTTTCTTCCCCAGTGCAGAAAGATTGTCAATAGGCCTTTAAAGCACACATATCAGCCACCGACTGCTCTCAACTCCCACTTGTTCCCTCTTTCCTGGTGTGTCAAGTTGACAACTGAAGCTATCTAGTAACCCCTCAATGTGACAAACTCTACTCTACTCTACTCTGCAGTATCACAGAATTTGGAGATGTGCAGTTGAAGAGACTCTTCTCCTTGGGTGCCTTCCCTATCCATCACATGGTAACAATGGAAAGCACCATTTAACCCCATTATTGTTCCAGGCCCTGCAACAGGTGTGCCCACCAGGCATGAAATGAACCAGTTGAAGTTGTATAAGAAAGCAGGCTGAGCATAGGCCCTGGGAACCAGCCAGTAAGTAGCATCCTCCATGGTCTCTGCTCCACAGTCTCTGCTTCAGCGCTTCCCTCCAGATTCCTGCCTTGAGTTCCTGCCTTGGTTTCCCTCAATGATGGACTATGCCTTGGAACTGTAATCCAAATAACCCCCCTCCAAAGAAAATGAGCAAAATAAAATAAATAACCAAATGATATCTCATTAAATCATTAAAAATCACTTGAGACTGTTGTCTACATTTCATTTCCAGGAGGAAACAAGACTTATGAAAAGTTAAATGAATAAAAGAATGTCAGTTCCCTTAGGATGTTAAAGCCAGTCTTCTTCCCCCTTTGTGTGATGCTGTGTGATATCTCCCCAGAACAGCTCAACTCCACTATTCTGCCGTGCTTCCAAAACTACCAGTGTCACAGCGTTCCATCCCTAAACAGGTTAATGAATTTGATTCCTTTCATTCTAGGGGCCACAGACCACCAAGTGACTTGCCACTAGTGCCTCTCAGGGCCATCAGAGTCCTCCATGCACCTTTCACAATGACTATAAGATTGTTTTAATGGCAGGTGATAGCTATTGTAATATTTACATACACATCCACGGATAGACATGTGTGCCATAAAATCAGAGTAAGGCCACCAAAGCTAACTCCAATTCTGAGTTAAAAACCTAAGCTCTCTGCTGTCCAAGGAGCCTTGTGTATATATGTTTCAGGAGTAGAAACTATATTTTCTATTTCTTTTATCCTCATAAGCACAGAGCTGATAGAAAGCTCTATACAGGGATGTACTTAATTCCCACAACTCCCACATAGCAGAGGGCAGATGATCAGCTTACACGGCATGTGGCACATGGTCCCTAGTCCAGTGATTGCTTCCTGTTGGCTGTTATGGGTCAGCCCCTCTTCCCTTACTTCTGCTTTCAATTGTCAGCTACCAGCCAAGAACAAAGTGCGTGGAGGCTGATCTTACCTTAATGACATGACACAAGTCTTTCCAGTCATTGCCACTATAACAGCACAGAGGAAGTGGAGATGCAATCGATGCTGTGAACAATTAGAACTGAATCATCTAATGCAGTCACCCATGGATCAGTAAGTATGGCGTTCCTTCTGACCTTGGGGTACTTTCTTAGCTTCCTTGTCAATCCAGGTCAATAGTCCCTTTTCATAGGCACATCCCACTGCTCACTTCCATACCTGAGAATACCCTGAAGCATTGGGCTTATGTTTAGAATTGCAGATAAAACATAGGTTGC